AGAGGCCCGCGCATCTACATTTTTTCGCCTGACCCCATCAGTGCCGACCCAACTACACCACCACGCGCATGCCTCGCGGCGGATATGCGCAGCAGCAAGAAGGTTTCGGTCATCCCTTGAGGGTGAGTCTAGCCCTGCTCGCCAGAAAGACCCCCCCCTTCACTACAATCCATGTCTAAGCAAAAGCTTGTCGAGGAGCGAGGGGAAGAAGGGAGAGTTGGAGTTCCCTATTGCTTCGAGAAATTGTTATTTGGCGTGGCTGGTGTTGAATCTGCACGTATGGTCGTAGGAGTGTTCTTACGCGAAATATGGTTGAAAGGACACACCCACAACCTATGTCTACTCACATTGAGGTCTGCACAGCACATACACAATTAATTCCAAAAAACACACGCATGTTGTGTAGAGCGGGATTTTGTTTCGCAAGGGTTGCGTGCGACCCGCACGTTACGCGTTTCTTTGTATCTCGTGCTAGCGTGTACTATGTGCGATGAGCCTGAGGGCATCTTCTAGCACGCCACGACCTTGTCTATGCTTGGGACGTACGTACCTGATCCTCCGGCATGCCTTTCTTGACGAATTTTGTTCCGTCGGGTCGAATCCCATCTCGCAGCACCTTGAACACCAAAAAAAACACAGAAGGTAAACGAACGCGAAAATCAGGACTTCAAGAGATGCTTCTCGCTGGTACGAACGGAAACAGCGATGGCGTTTATTGTTGTTTCGAATTGTTTTATTATTTTTCTTCGATTTCTGGGAGACACGTTGTGGAGTGAGACACACGGAACGCCCGTCATCTCGCCAGCCACATTAACTTCGAGGCGCGGCGTTGACTCTTTCAAAGCTGTCTCACTCCCCGCAAATAATTCCAGTCGGGTGATTACGACTGCAAACTTAGGAGTCCCGAAACTGACCAAGCCCCAAATGGTACACAATTCTACAACACCCTAACTAGAAACCGAATACTCCCGAGCTTATTCCCCCACCTCCGAAAGTAAAGGGGTGGGAGGGCGGTATTTTTGCTATACTGCCGCTTCCTACGTTGCGCGGCCACTGCTGTTCTTCCTTCTCTTCGCGCGCTCTGCAACTTCCGCTCGTTACTCGGTATGCTACACCGCTTTGCGCTCTCTTCTCAAAGGAATGACAGGGAAGCGGTTCGAATTTCTTCCCCTCGTGACCCCAGGTTTCCGAACAACTAATAAAGCTACAAGTCGAAACTCCATTTTATTCTGTCTATTCGAAGAATATACTCTCCTCTTGCAGCAAAACGGTACAGGGTTAATCGAGCATATGCACGTCTCACACGAGCACGTGCCCTCTGCCACGACGTCCACCGTCGTCCCGGAATGATTCGAGTTTGGGTCGCACAAGGGCACCAAGGAATCCAAACTTTTGTCGGATGTTGGGAACCGGTTAGGATGCATTTTTTCGGTAGATTTGTCCCTAGGTCAGTAAGAAGGAAGGTTTCCGACTGAGTCCTGGTCATCCTCGCATGGTGTTACAGTTGTGTTGTTCTCAGAACCACCCTGCCGTTGTTAGATACGCGACAAAGGCAGCAGAACCTGTCATGTTCTTCGTTACCCTGAAACATGTACATGGTTCAACAGTCGAGAAGTGGACGGCCGGCCGGTGGCATCGTTATTGACACAAAACCGTCCATAGTTACAACAACAACAACAACAACAACAACAACAACAACAACGGTAATGACAACGTGGCCCGCAGCCTCACCTGTACCCGCCAGACTGAGCCCTGGCCGCAAGAAAGGGCACCCCCCGCCCCGTCTCTCCCAGAGTTGACGATGTCGAACTGGGTGGTCGCTTGGTTCCCCAACGGATCGGGGTCATTCCAATCTGTCCGGTCGTGAAACCGCTGAGGTGTCTACATTACGGCGAATGAGGAAAGAGATAGCATCCCGAGTGGGGGAAGCTGGGCGGTGTGAGTAAGTAGTGACTTCGAAAGCGACAATCGATTGTGACAAAGAGTGATGCCTGCATTAGTCGATTTATGACACAAAACGCTTGGCCTTTTTTTTTTTGCGCCTTGTTCCGCCTCTTCAAATAGCTCAAGGTTTATTTTCTCAAGGTGAGAACATAAATGTTATTTCAGGCTGCTGGGTCTGGGTCAGCTCTCCCACTTAATGCAGCGGCCGAGGTACTCTCTTTGCCCCTTCGTCCGCCAACTACACGGGGCATCAGCTAAGCGCGAACAAGGTTCCGGGCGCTATCCTAGTCGAAGCACATTTCACGCAATGCCTGGACGGCGTCCTTTCTTTGTAGCGACATGAACTATCGGCAAGGTGTTCGCCGCTGCACCCTGTACGTAGGTGAAGTACCACACAAAGGTTGGCGGGACGCATGCTCTTGGTTGGATGTCGCGAGGACACCAAGCATATTCGCCCGTTGCATGGACAACACCCACCTGTATGAAGGCGATGTCGGCCCACTTGTAACAGCGGCGGGGCCTGTCGAACGTGAAGAAGTATGGCACCGTCCTCTGCAGGAACTCGGGGTAGAGCTCGTGGCGGACGTCGTTAATAACGACTACGGCGGCCTCTCCGATGAGTGGCTCTTCCTGAGGGTTGAAGCTGAAAATAGCCCTGCATATTGCACGGCATGAACGTTGAAAAAGGAAGCATGAACATGACGAGGGTTGCAGTGCGGCAATCGTCTAGAATGGACGTTGCTGATGGCATAAATAGAGTCCGATTCTGCTGCAACACGACAGTGACTACACGCTCTCACCTGTTCATGTTCCCAGCCTTCGGGCTGATCCTCGGCTGGCCGGCGTCGATGCGGGAGTAATACACGATGGTCGGGATATACTTATTGCGGTTCCACACCTGATGAATGAGGAGGAAGGTAGCATCAGGCGCACAACCGTGCTTGAAGAAATCGTCACCACAGCGATATTCACCGCAAGAGTTGCAGGTTCCGTTCCAAACCGAGAAGCGGAGGAGTCGCAACAAAGAGTGCAGAACAAGTCAATCTTTTCGATAAAACTCGTGAATTCTCTGTGCTTCGTGTACGACCGTGGTTGGTTTTGGTGAGTACTGGCCGAAGTTGCTGTGGCATGGACACTAATACTTCGGAAAAGTCATCTGACGCCGTTTTTGGATTTTATTTTATTTTCCTCCTTCTTAACCGTTACGAAAGACATTTTCACGAAAAATCCTGCCTTACTCGCTATTGCTCCAAATTCAACGCGAATCGAAGCAACCCAGTGCCAACTTCTCTTAAGTCGGACCCTGCGGCTAAGAGAAAAGCGGCCAACGACCAGCACTCTGAGGTTTCAAGACGAGGGAACGGGGGGGAACGGGAAAGGCAATGGTTGTATTTTTGACCTTTTTCTGTCCAGGTTGGATTTCCTTCCGGTCAAAACAACTCGCTCTTCGGGCGCGCTCTTTTATCCTGGAGATGGCCACACTCGGCGAGAACCTGAGGCCAAAGGAGTAACGGCCCAGTCATGACAACGTAACCGCTGCCGTAAGTCATTCGCTCACGATGAAACCGATATCATCGTGGGCCACATGCATATACTCAATCCTATTTGGGGGGATCAAAACCCCCATGCGTCAAGGATATGTATCGATTCGCCGAACATTTCGAGGTCAAGCGCTTTGCGATCAGCACGTGTGGCGAGAGTTGGCTAACGTCCGAGAGACGTAAGTGTTCAACAAGGGCGAGAAGAGGCAGTAACAATAGAATCCCGAACAAGGGCGGCACCGGTTAGTCCACCAGAGAGTCGCGCCGGGGTACCTGGAGATGCTGTCGTCGTTCTCCGCGATGAGCTTGTCAATTTCTGACACGATCTCGATCCCCCGGATAAAGTTGACGTCGTCGTACATGCGTTGGCCGTGCTCCCCGTTGGCGAAGTGCTCGTAAAAACCCTTGGCGGAGATCGGCACCACGCCCTCTCGCATGAGAATCTCACGGACAGTTTTGTCCAGGACGACCTTCGGCGAGGTGGACGAGCGAAGGGTTTGGTCCCGCGTAACGCGGTGAATGTTTGGCGCGATTTTTGACTTTTTGGCTAGACCTCCACGCACGTAGACTGTGCCTGAACGCCATGATGTACTGTGAGAGGAACACGCGATGCTTCGAGTTGCATAGGCTTCGAAATGTATGTTCGTGCGAATGAAACTACATGGATATTTTCTGTCCTTATGGCCCTGGCGCCGATTATCAAAGTACGATAGATTGAAGACTATGGGTGCATGAAGGTGCAGTTGGGGAACCCCATAGCAAAAAAAAGAAAATAGTCACGCCGCAATGACAAGGACGATCTCGAACGCCATTATTGTTGACAAATACGGCCAAAGCAAGGTAGACGAGCAAAGCAACCAAATCGTCTCGGTCGAAGATGATTCGAACCATGCCTAGTGCTTGTAGGCGCGTACTTTCCGAGAAACCTTGGTGCAAAACCTCCCATGCTTAGGAAACCACCTGTTTTGCCCCAAATGCAAATTAATTATATGCAGAGTCAGCTTGCTCACAAAGCTCAGATCCACCACGTTCCAAAGAACAGATATAAAATGTGCAGGATGCCGGTTGCGGTGTGAACGCCAATGTTTGGAGCTGCGCTGGCTGCAAACGCCTACGGTCGCCTACAACCTGTAGTCGTGGGCAGAAGTGTTGGCCGAACAAGATAGCGTTATGGAAGGAGCAGGATTATCTGGCCCAAAGGGCTACAGTATAACTGTGCCTTGAAATGGTCTATCCACGTTGCACCGCTCTGCAGCAGGATGCTCACCTCTGACAGGGTGTAGACTAAGGAGACGAGCTTCTGCACCTCTTCTCGCCGTTTTTCGTCAAGGACGAGGATTCTCAATGTATCCCGTCGAGTATTTTTACTCTTCCAAAGCCTGCGAGCGATTTTGGAGAAGCGCCCGTTCAATGTAGGGATCAACCATTTTTGAAACGATCGAGCTACATAGATGTACTCAGTCCATTGCGTACCAAGTGGAAACAACAACAACAGCAGTCTGAGTCACCCCAGACTGTGCGGATACGGCTCGATAAGATGCAAACCCTTTTGAGTAGTGTCGTTGCCCTTGCCGCCTGGCGATAGAGGATCGTCACAACTGTCTGAGAAGGAAGGGTAATAGACTCCTGTCCACGCGATCACCTGAGTTGTAAGTTTCCAAAGAGAGCCTTGAGCATGACGGCAGTCTTCTCCCCACACGTTGGGATTAGCACGGCCACCTTGAGCGCCCCAATTGCCTCGTCGATATCAGTCAGGTCATCCATGTATACCTGGGGATTACCGACAAAACCCAAAGTCAGAAAAAGAGCAGTCTATTTCAGTATTTCCTGTCTCTTTTGGAGTATTTTTGACAAGAATATAATGCACACCAAGAAGTGCACCAAGTCCATCTACTCGACCCGCTCGTTTCAAATTTCAGTGGCCCCCTTTACTCCCTATTTATCTGAACTATCGACTACGCCGATAGTGGCACCGGTGAGGACAAAGGAGTATCCGTAGCGTTGCTGTTGACCCATCCAATCTGAACTCAGGAAGCTACCCGGTACCCTCGTATTTCGCCAACCAGCCTCTGAAGTAGATGCCAGCAAGCGGTCAAGCACTCACCTTCTCCCGGTGTGCTGGGAACGATCGCGAGCTGTGGCCTACTATCATGCCGATGGCCATGATGCACTCCGCACTCAGGAAGATGAACGCCCAGATGATGTGGTCGACACCTTTCAGGGAGCGCGTGATTCTCCACCACAGGTAGGCAGCCATGCAGAGGAGGTTTATCACGCCGATCGTGCGGATCCACCACGCCGAGGGGGCGCTCTCTGTGTGCTGGGGCTCAAACACGTGCCTCCTCCTGCACGCGTGCACACGCAATATGCAGGTGTGCCGTCGTCGTCTGTCTATGGTCCTGCTGTACCGTACTTTGCGTTGGTCCTATGCACCAGAAAACATGGGTTATCTCCTTCTTCTCGTCGTGGGTACTTTCCTGGACGTTAAAGCCAAGTCCGATCTCACTCGTTCATTTTACTGTAGACCGCCTCCTCTCGCAGGCCCCTTGCTCACCAGGGGCGAGTGGTCATCCCCTTTCGGAGAACGTGGCTGCAACTTCAAACCGATTTGAGCGACCGAAGGTACTACCCAGAGAACGAGATTTAGGTTTGTACGGGAACAGTTGACGGGGAAGGGGTGGGCACTCGAACCAGAAAACAACAAGAAATGTATGGCTGACCTCAGCGGGCGATAGATTTTGAGAGGGAAATCGTGTTCGTTCCACGTCGCCTTTGGAAGACCTGTTTGCATGGACGGGAATTCCGCTAGGAAACCTAGAGTGAACTATCGCCCCTAGCTTCGAAACAGAACACTGCGCCCCGTGAAAACGAGACTCAGGCTCCGTATCCCCTCCGATTAATTTCGTTTCGGTTTCCGAGATTTGCGACGCAGATGGTGTTAAGTGCAGTTGATTGCGGTGCGTGTTCCCCTACGCTAGCTGGTGTTCGAGAGTGACTGGCCCGCGATCAACGAAGGATTTTGAAAGTGAAGAGGGCGCAGTCATGCAACAAAAACATGAACGTGCTGCCAAGGTTCCACGGCTGGAACAAGAATGTAAGATTGTAGCACGGCAAAAACCTAACTCTTCCCGTGGCATTGTTGAGGAGTTGTGCGTAGCCCTGCCGAGCCACGAGTGATGCGACCGATTGGACGCATGCTTACTCCACTCGAATATAATACAACCAATCAATGCGGGGAAACTCACCCACTAATAATGAGAGTGACCCATTTTTGGGCCCATTTACTCTTCCATTATTTCCATCGTACCGCACAAGCAGCTTGGTATCACCGCTACACTTTTGCATGTTGTGCGTAAATTCGATGCTGTTCGCAGCGGTATCGATTGGGCCAAAAAAGTCACAAAAAAGCGACTCGCATCTGCCCACTGCCGCTCTTTCACTGATAATGAAAGCGTTTTTCGATGAACAGACGCACCGCGACCTCTCCCATCCTCTCACCTACCCCCTATACTATGTCTCCCCTTTCTCACCGATTATAAAAGTGTGTTTCATTCTCGGAGAGATCTGATCCACTGCTATTTTCCCCGGCGTCCTTGCCGCCTTTCTTGGCGCTTTTTCGCCGTCCGGTCTCGTGGGTGCTCTGCTTGCGGTCCTGCGAGAACCCCGATCGGAGACAACACGCGCCGAAAGTTGTTGCGTCTTTGTCGCCATCGCATATCCGGTTTGCCTTGAACTTGGTCGACGGGCGAATTTGACTGCGTACCCCACCACAAAGGAAGCGCAACGCTAACAAGCGATTTGAGGTCCCTCCCGGAGAGTCAACAACGGTTAGCGTGGCATTTGATATTTGCATGATCGTGTAGGCTCTTTCTTTTTACCGCCCGAGATGTTCCTTGTTTCTGGTGGGGCCAGCATCGAAGATAACATGGGTTGACGTACGGGTAGCGGGGCTCGCCCTTTGAACGCAACAACAACGACCAACGATAGTCCACTCCCTCCCGGACTCACCCCGATGGCCACGAGTTCAAATCCCTGCCCGTTGTTGCCGTGGATGCTGATTCTACGAGTTGCCTTTGCGGCGGCTTCGGCCATTTCGGTTGCCCGCCGCCCAATGTCTTGCAAGAAGCTGGGCCGCCGTTGTTCTTTGTAGACCTGAGTCACCATATATTGAGCGGGGGGCGATGGGGGAGGGGGCAGTGGCTTGCATTCATGTACTGGTTTCAGCTTGATCAACTAGCTCACCTTGGCACGAATTCCTAGAATTTTTTCGGAGTAGTTTCAAGGATGTTTTCGGCACACCTTTTCCAACGCAGTCCTTGGAGGGAGCTGCACAGAAGCCGGAAAACTCAAGCCTTGTCTCTCTCCGCCAGAGAAAGAGCACGGATTCGAAGGCAGCACGTGTTTGTACTAGTTGTGCGCGTGGCAACTAGCCATGCTCAAGGATCTTTTTCTCCCGGGGCTAGCAATTTGTGAGGACCGGCATCGTTTGCTCGGATGCTATTGTGCAACATCCTCAGCTGTTACCAACCACATCATGCGCAACAAAAAACGACTGGAATTTGGCCCCACACACGTCCGACCCGTCGTGCTTTGAATTCGAAGGAGAGTACACCCACACAGAGGTCGCGACTCTCACCTCTCCCCTCTTGTCGGATCGTAATCCGCCAAATGTCATCCGCCGCTTAGGAGCACTTCCCGTCGAAACGACCGGAACAACTCTCGCCGCGTTGTTGTTTTCCTTGGAAGACGAACGAGGCCCTTCGATCTTCTTCGTCCTCGTGTGGTCCCCGGGGCGATGGCCCGCCGCCCTGTTGTTGCTATCGCCGTCCTCTTCCCTGTCCGCGTCAGATTCGTCCGTCGTCGAGTTGTAACTCAACTCCGACGCCGTTTGCCGATGCCCCCCCCTACGGCCACCACCACCTCGGCCAATGACATGCGGCCTGAACATCCCCGCGTTGTTCGGGGTGAGGATGGCCTGCGCGCACCGCCAACATGAAGGAAACACAAGGCGGCGATCAGACATCCTAGACTATTTGTAGCGACTCTTCCTATTTTCCCTGAGGACACCTCTCGCTTGGAGGTGAAGGGGTGGCACATGAACCGCCGGGCCACAAAAAAACCTGTCACGTTCAAAGAGGATCCTCGAAGTAATTGGTTCAAAATTGTTGTTGTTATTGGGATTTTTTTTTGTGTTTCAGTCAGCAAATTTCATGTGTTTTCTGCTCGTTTTCGAGCCTGTGAGTTTTTGTGTTTGTTCTTGGTGTTGACTATTGTTTAGACTTGTTGATTTCATCCTTTTGACATGAAGAGTTCCCGTCCGACTGGGACAGACCGTGGGGGCTTGATTACTCGATCGTCCATGCCTTTGGGTTGCCTTTCACAACCCTTCCGACCTTTTAGTCCTAGCTCCTACACGTCGCCATGCATGGAAAGGACCCTGCATGTCGCTGTGCTCGGACAGGTTCGAGATCGTCGTTCATGAGATAGACTCTCGAGATTGTTGCGCCGCGCATAGGCTCTATGTAGCTCGCTGTTCTCTCCCCTGACTCTTGTGTAGCCCGAAGCCGTGGCACACCGTGAAGAGATGGGTCTGTCAGCCCTCAGGCTTTGAGACCACGAAGAGTAATTTTTACGGGTAGGAACGCCCCACCCTTTCGCGCGATAGTAGTTGGTAGCCCTTTGTGCTCCAACAACCCCCCTCCCTGTCAAAAGAACCGATCGGGACAAACCAACATATTCCAAAGAGACCAGAGCCGAAGCGTCAGCCTACCAATGAACGAGAGACATGTCTGTACAAGACCTTGTACAGGAAAAATGCAAGGAAAGAAGAGCACACAGCGAAACGAAGGATCCACAGACCAAAACGTAGTCACCTGGGCGGCCGTGTCCGGGTCCATGAACTGAGACCTGAAGTGCATCATGTTTGCGTCCACCCTCAGCCCTGGCTCGCCGGAGTCAACCACGCCGCCGTGCGTCGCCCTCCTCTGGAGCACAGAACCCCCTCCCCCTCCCCCTGTTGTCCTCCCCAGGCCGCCCCCGTCGGGAAAGATCTTGCCAGGGAATCGGAATCTATCGAACATAGACCCGCGTGGCGGAGCCTTCGACAGTTTTCCGCTGTCCAACGGGCTGACGGCGCCGGCACCGGTTGTTGCCCCGCGGCTTCCGTCCCCCCCACCACGCCCTTGTCCTGGGCAGGCCGCTGCTGCTGCTGCCGTGGTTGCTTGTGAAGTGTCGGTCGCCGCGCGCCGGTAGGCCTCGGATCCGTGGGGGGTCCACTCGAAGCCGGTCAGAGACTTAACCAGCACCTGATCCCTGACCAACGATTTATTGCAGGAATAAATCAGACTAACATGAAGGCTTCGACGTGGCGATATCGTATCGTTCGTCCTTATTGATATCGCCTTTGTGTAGTACTGCTACTGATGCTGATGCTACTGGTCCTCGCTGAAAGACCACAGATTGTTTGGAGAGAATGGACGTGAATATGCCAAGCTTGCCAGCGATCCACTCAATATCACTTTCGACGGTTCGTGATGAGATCATGACCCCCCGCAACTCCTCAAAGCTGGGGCAAGACTCATCGGGTTCACATGCGAGAGGCAGTGAGGGTGTATGTATTGCGGTTCTTACCTCGTCGTTCCGTCTTCAAACCCAACCAGGTACGAACGGTTCGGGTGCGCCGTACGGATAACTCCGTTGTGAGTCTGCGGGGGACCTGCTTGAAGACCCAGCGTTAATCGAAATTGTACCTGACAAAACGCGATTCAAGGGGTAGCAGGGGGATCGTAAACAGCGATGAACTCGTTTGGAACACACGAGTCATGCATGCCGGGTGTAATAGCTTACCAAAGGGGGAAATGGATTCGAAGGACAGAACGAAACAATCCCCATTTTAGATAATGCTAGAGATAAACAGATACATCGAAGGCGCCAGCGCGGAAGAAAAGGCGTACGTGCGTGGAGGTCTGCAAACACCCTTCCCGACAATGACAGCAGCAACAGCAAAACAACAACAACTACAAACTACAACTACAACCACAACGGCAACAGCCTGCAAACCTGGTCCCCGACGGCGAACGTGTCCCCTCCGAGGCTCCCGACGTCAAGGTCGAGTATGCACCCGGTGGACCTCAGCCGTGCCCCGGCGGACAGGGTCGGGGGCTTGCCGTCGCTGCTGCGACCGGGCTTAACGTTAGGGCGGCGAACGTCCTTCAGGGGTATGCTGGCGCCGTGCCAGCCCTTGTCGAAGTTGACGGACACCCCGTCCTCCGTCGACGTTACCACTCCAGGGTAAAACTCAGGCTTTCCGGCGTACCTTTTGGCAGTGGTGCAGAGAAAGTAAGGACAGGATACAGCGACGGTATTGTGCAGGAGAGACATACCAAACGCGTAGATAAGTTACTCAGAGCATAGCGAGGTACAGAAAGGGTACTTTGGAAAAGCACATGGAAGGTAAAGAAGCGTCGTCGGGTCTCCACGGGACGTATGGTGCTTTGCAATGTTCTTGTCGTATCTTGGAACAAACGAACATCACAACGAGCGACAACACTGCGGAACCCCTCGTGCCGTTGAGCAAGCAGCCAGTCACCTGGCCTCTACCCGATCCCCGACGGTGAGATCCCCGAGAGCGAGTGCAGACGACGACGACCCCGGCGACGACGACGACACGTGTGACGGCGAAAACGAAGAAGGCAAGAACAATGATGAAGACGTCCCGGAGGGCTTCCCCTTCCGCACCACCCGCACCTCTCTCGCCGGCCTCTGGAGCAACACTCTGCCCGTTTCTAGCTCTATGTCAACGCTGCAGTCCTCGTGGACTCGACGTACTACGCCTAGCGCAAACATCGTCGACGCCCTTCCTCCTTCTCCTCCTCCTCCTCCTCCACCTCCTCCTCCTCCTCCTCCGGCCGACCGCATACTCGCCGCCGTCCCCGCCCCCCGGCTGCACGAACGTCCCCCTCGAGCAGGGCGTCGCACACGCCCACCAAGGGAAGGAGAGTGTGCAGGAAGCGCTCCGCCACCACCGCGGAAGCATCCCTGACCGTCGTCGTTGTCTCCTCCGACGGCCTTCCCTGCGGCAGAACCGCGGGGCTGTCGTCCTCCTCCAACCTTGACCCGGCAGCAACGCCGGGCTCCGTCTCCGGTGATGATGACAGCGACAACACCGNCTCGACGCTGTCCCCCTCCTCCAAGATGTTTCGGATGCTCCTCCTGTCTGGCCTGTTAACCTTTATTCCGAGAATGTCGTCCAGGCTTCCCCGTTTCTTCGGCGTCTCTCTGCTCCCTGCCGCCGCCACCGCTGCCGCTGACGCGTTGTCTCCGCCCTCTCCTCTCGTGCCCCGCGTGGCGGGTGCGGCTTCCTTCTCTGCGGTACGCAACTGGGTGCCCAGAACGTCGTCGAGAATGCCGTTGGTTGAGGTCTGCCATCGGGGTTTCCCACCATCCTGAAGGCCTTCACCATCAGCCGGGGAATGCGGTGCCTTTGTCTCGCTTGTCTTCTGACCAAACGATTGGGTTTGTTCGAGGAGGTGCTTCAGAGAAGATGGAGAGGACCTGCGTCACGCAAGAGGACCATAAGGATCGCAGCACCCGGGAAACAAACACCCGTTTTTGGAGGATTTTTCAGCGTATGTTAAGCACTTTTTTATTGTTCGCAGCAAGTATGCCCAGCGGTAAACGCACGCTGTGGCCAAAGCAAGAGGCCGCAGGGTGGCTTGTCCCAGTGTTGACGCCGGTTCAAAGTGTATGCCGAGTTAGCTATTTGATACTAGAGCGAATCCTATCATCCATGGAAGACCATCCGAGTTGCAAACAGTAGCGCCTCGTACTAACACCAAATGCCGGCAATATCTCTGGAGGTGATATGGCAGCTTGTCTATCCCGGCCACTTTATCAAACGGAAAAGACGGGCCTGGCGGTTGTAGGAGGAGCAGTCGCGCGGCTGAAAGCCACGTTTGATTCGATTTCCGACAAAACACAAGTCCCTCGTTTGTGGCCAACTGTTCTCTTTCCCTTTCTCCCTCCCCCACTCCCCTCACTCCCTCACCTAAAGCTGTTCTGTCCTGTAGACACTTCGCTTCCCTGCTCGTTGCCATCCCAAAAAGACTGCTCCCCGGCCGACGACCCCGCTGGTGACGGCGGCTCGGACCTGGTGGGCGGACAGGGGGGGGCGGCGGGGGGGGGCGTTGCTTGCATGCCCGCAGTGTTGACACGATGGATCGGGCCACAGGGGGGAGGGGATGGTCCGTTCCTTACGTGCTTACTGCTCGACCGCGCATTCAAGATGAGAAAGAAAACCGGGTGACACCGGCGTCAGGGTGTTTTGAGCGCGGGAGCGGGACAAGCACGCCTTTGTTTCCTCGTTTGATGTTGTTATGCGAGGAGAGTGGGAGGTGATATTGTTTTTCGTGCTGTTCTTGGCCTGTTCACGATGGTATCATTAAGGACGGAGTCGCTTCCATACGAAGGGAGCAGGGTGGAGTAGGATGGCGTCCTCACACATGTTGCCTGCGTTTCATAAGACCAACAGACAAACGTTGAACGTGAGTCTTTGCCTACCGTTGTGGTCGGCTGCGGCACCTAGCTTGCATTGTAGACTTTGTACTTCGAAGTGAGGTCCCATGTGCGGGCTGGGAATACATTTATCCCGTTTAGACAACATATTGTTCAGAGGGAACAAGTCGAGCGATCCAACATGAAGCTGACGCAGATTGGGTAACTCCCAGGCCGTTCGCGTAAGGTACTCGAGTGCATCCTGTATGGAATCCAACCACAAACCTGTCAACATGTCTCAGTAAATCCACGCTTTGACCCCGAGCAAGGTGCGTATCGCGGACAACTCGTTCATGCCTCTATCTCCTACACGCTGGAGCTTGAACCTCCGGGGGGGAGCAGTTATGCATACCTGCTGACGAACTTGATCTCCGCAACTGGCACCTCCTGCCTCATCCTCCCGTCCGCCAGGATAACGTCCAAGGATCCGCCGGGGTTGACGTGCGCCACCTCGCCGGAGATGTACTCCTTGGAGCCGGTCGCTCCGCCCACTGGGGTGCACAGAGCTTGCACGTTGTCCCCGACGATATACCCTCCCGGCACCGGGGCGGTCCCGGCGCTGGGGTGGTCTCGGCGATCTAAAGAGACCATTTTCTTCGATGCGGTTGTTGCGTCCAGGTCCGCCTGAGTCGTGAGCAGGTATGTTGGAAACGTCTTGAAGTTATGCCAAGGCGATCCAACCAAGTGCCATGCATTTCTGGGCTTCATCTCGTCACCCTCAGAGCTCATTCGACGGCGTTATGTATGCGACGGTCGGGATTGTCTAGATTGTCGTTGATATCGTCGGTTGTGGTTGTTGTTCTCGTTGTTTGTGTCGGTGCCGTTGTTGGTTGTGTTGCTCACTGTCAATGTCAGAGAAAGAGACATATCGTGATAGTACTCATCTGCATCACTTTCCGTGCCCCCACTACCATCACCGCCACCACAAATTTGCCGCGCCCTCAACCTAAACAGCGCCTCGTTCTACTCCCGCCCTCCCTACTACCAGCACCGCCCAACCCCAGCTTAGTCGCTCTTAGTCGGTGGCACGTCTAGACCTATCCCCTCACAACCTGACCTTCGCCGACAGGGCTCTCCCAAGGGCCATCGACTCCGCGGCGGCGCGCTCCCTGGCGACGAGAGCGGCTTCCGCCGCCTTCTGCGCCTTGACTTCCGCGGCCACTCGCAGCGCAGCTTTCTCCCGCTCCTCCTCGAACTCTTTCATCTTGGCCTGGAGAGCCGCGCTCTCCGCGGCCACGCGGTCCCTCTCGATCTGGATGTCGCGGGCGACGCGCTCTTCGAGCTCTTTCTCTATCTGCGCCCTCATGGCCACCTCAGACGCTTTCCTCCGATCACTTTCCTTTTCGATCCTGTTGTTGTTGTTGTTGCTGTTGCTGTTGTTTGGTCTTCGTATTAGAAACCGTTACGATCCCTGCCCAGTGCCTTTCAACACCAGTTACTGGCCCAACTGAAAACAAGCACCTTCCGTCACAGGCTAACTGGCAAAACAACTGTAAAAGAGAAGATTGATATGGAAATTGCGCTAGTCAATGATCGTCGAACAAGCGAAAGAAAGGGGAAGATGCAGAGGACGTCGCACGTGTTTTCCCAGGCGTTTTAAATCGAATCGAGATGGTATTTTTTATACCCCCCCACTTTGCAGATATGCCGGTGCGCACACCGTTGGTTTCGCGTACGTACGTGTCACTAGGTTCATGTTTGCAGGAACGTCTGTGTGGTCTTGAAACCCTGTGGCATAGGAATGGTTTCCCAAGGATATACTTCAATTCGTTCGACGACATCCAGAAACAATTTCGTGGAGGTACAAGTTTGAAGTATTTTCCAACATACGATAGTATTCCCGTCGAGTTTGTGGTCGAACCTATGCTTGGTTGTTGATCGAAACACCTGAACAAACCATCGCCCATTATCATGCTACAACAAGGTAGAGACAACTGTCTAAGTCACTGCGTACAGACTAGACTGTGTTTCGCGCGGAACTATTTGATGCCGCTTGCCTCAGAGCCTCTGCGGCAGCTTCAGCCTCTCTAGCTCGACGAGCCTCCTCCTCCGCCTCGCGCTCGGCCTTCTCCGCTTGCGCGACGGCCTCTCGCTCCAGCTTGAGGGCCTCCAGCTCCACCTTGACGCGCTCTGCCTCCAGCCTTGTCTCCTCCTGGTGCGTACGTCCCAACCGCGTGCATCGGATATCCCAAGAACGTTCCCCCAAGAACCGCAACAATATATACCATAGGTCAGAGTCGCCTACGAGGGTGTCGCGTGTGCGACGCCACGTGCTGCTTAGAGGGTACTACATGGATCGATGTACAAGACAGCAACACCCCAACAAAACCTCTACGTGCTTCTTCTGTGCTCCATTATGTTGTGTATGGCGTGCGCCTTCCCGGCGTACGTGCGGATGGGCATCCAAGACTTCGGCCCCGACCACGTTAAGCACCCGAAGCGCGCCCATTATCGTTATGAAGATTGGGTCGCCCGCCCTTGTTTTCTTCTTTCAAGACGAAACTGCGACTGTTTCGTGCACTACTGTGGACCAACACACCGCGTGTTCACACCCACCTGGCGTTTGGCAACTGCTTCTTGCAGGCGCCGCCTCTCGTCCTCCTCTGCTTCGTTCTCGCGTCGCCTCATCTCCTCCAAGGCTTCTTTCTCCAACCTGGCCTCCTGTTGAGCGCAACGGATTGGGTGGGAACCCGGCCAGCCGGATGGGTGAAGTGCGGGGATGGGTAAGGAGACGACAATGAACAGCTCTCGACATCGCGGGCTGGAAGTGCCACCTGTGAACAACAGGACGCGGCGATATGCTCAGGTTACTCTATCTCGCGGAAGCATTGTCACGTTCTGCCGCAAAGTGACAAGACGGACACGAGCCGACATGGTTGAGGGAATGAGGGAGGGCGATCCGCTTTCTCGTCTGTATTTATCCTGTCTGCTATTAGAAAATATGAGAAGAGTCGTATCGAGTGGGTTGTTTCGCGTTTCCAGGCGGTACCACGAGCTGCGATTCAACGCATCCCCTGGGACCCATACGTACTGGTCGTTGTACTGTGCACCTCTGCCCGGCGCTAACCCATGTCGTGCATTAAGCTACACATGTTGACGACAGGACAAGTCCCCCATATTCACTCTGCAGCTGTTTGTTGTTGCGTAGCGTATAGCAAGTTTGGTGAGGCAGATATAGCCGATGTAGACTACTGTTTATTGAAACGGTCGAATTTGCCAGAGGCGTTATTGTTCCTGTATTTCGGGGTATCAGGTTGAGAAGAGTCCTTTTGGGATGGTCACTTTATCGGAGAGTTCACGTGCAGGAGAAGGCTCGCTGGACAGCGTGGAATAGCAGATTTATACAACAGCAGTACGTGAACTCAGAGAGGGATAGCAAGGATTGGCCAGATTGGGAGGCCAAGAAGTTGCGTTCTTTCCCGCCCACCCACCCTTTTTCTTTCGAAGGTGAGGGAACGGAAGGAATGCAATGGGTAGAGTAAATGGTAGAGTACCATTTGGGAACTTGGTCGTCTGAGATGTTCCGTACAGTAGGAAGAGTTCCCCACACCGGTGGAATGAGAAACCCCGGGCTGTTTTCTTTGGGAAGAGAGAGAGACAGTAGAATGAATGGACAGAGACACGGTAGGACAGGCGCAGAGGGCGTCTACAGGAATCGTGTTCTGTCGGCGTGGTTTCTCTCTCTTCCCCGCGTGTGAAGAGAAAACATTAATGCAAAAAGGCAATTCGAAAGAAAAACAATAAACGTTGAGCTTAATGTTGTCGTCCTATTTCTCTTGGTTGTTGCTGTTAAAGATTTTCTTTGTTGTTTTGCCGTACCCACCATGAATGTACACATCCCTACCACAACATTATCTTGGAGATTGCCCGACGCCGATGCGACAACAACACAACATCACCGCCGAACGTTGTTGCGCGTTTCAAGCCATACTGAACGCATTCGTCGGGGTAGCACGACTGTCCAACGGCTAGAAAAAACATGAGCGGGGGGATCCGTGATCCTTCTCGGCCAGAGACACCACGCCCAGCGTAACCTGCTGTCGGTGCACCACTCCTGGTGAATCACTCTAGCTGGTAAGAATGCTTTTCTCCGAACCCACCCCCTGGAAAACATAAGTGGTCGTGGATCATGCCGTGTGCCAACCCACGTTTTAACACTGTTTTGGGTGTGTAGCAGGAGTGTCTGCAAAGGATATTCTCATCCACCAAGCACCGTCAATGCTACGGTAGCCCTCGACGTGTATCATTCCCGATACAAGTCTCGCCCCCCGCCGCTCATCGGCATATCGCTCCGTGCCGGCATTGTAGGGATGCGAGGTCTACGATTTACCGACTACGTCGTGCGTTTCACGAGCACACCCGCCATTTCCTCCCCTTACCTCGTTGTGCTTGGCAAGCTCGGCCTTGTGCCTGGCCACCTCCTCTACGTGCCTCGCAAGCTCCTGCCGCTGTCGCTCCATGTCCTTCTCGTGCTTGCGTCGCATCTCCTGCCGCTGCCTTTCCAGCTCCTCCTCCTACCGACACAGGTTGACAACCAATCATTATCGATTTTCCAGTAATACCAGCTTGAGAGAAGATGGCCACCAACGGGTGTTTTGTCCATGTTTGAGTCTGTCGTTCTCTCACTGATTCGTTCGCCTATTTTTACATGTGTTCTTTCAGAACTCCCTGAATCGTGGGAACGTTCCCCACTTGAGTTCCACTTTTGGGCCAAAACATCATCAGTTCCGACGCTTGGTCCTGGGGTTCGAGAAGGAACACAATCTCCCCCATGTCGCTCAGTTGGGCCAAGGGGGCTCCATATTCAACGCGAATTTAACCTCCATTCTTGGGGCCAATCTTTCAATGGTCACGGTGTGTACTCGGGCCAAGAGCCAAAACTCGGCTCCGCTCCAAAATAGGTCGTTTCTGTTTGACCTTCCTTACACATGCGAAAGCTCTCAAGTTGCTTCACGTACTACTTTAGTGATTCCTGGCGATTTCCATCCACGCGTCTTGCGGTTTCGCCACTGACATTGAAGTTGCATTATTTCATGCCCTCCCACAATTTTCACGGTCTTGTTAGTTCTAGGTGTCTCTTGCTTGATTCTTACGCCTGGTTAGGATAACCACGTATTTTCGTTCTTCGCCTTTGGAGAGCAGGCCGGAGGAGGTGCAGGACAGAGGTTACAAGTAGAACGGGTGTCATTGCGAAGAGAAAGACCACAGATTTCCGACGGTTTTCAACAAAGCTTATACGGAGTAATCTCCTTGGAATTCCAAGCCACCCGGTTGTCTCCAGGCGTGACCCGCTTCGAACTGTGGAGTATTTTGCTTGATGCGGCTGGCATATTTTTGTTAGCCAGTAGAACAACGATGTCGATGTTTGTAAGACGAATGTTAAAGCCCTCCTCATGGTTAGAACGGTCATCTTGTCCTGAGACTGGCGTATCGTCATTCGCCGGTCGGCTATATTAGCATGATCGATGACACGATTGCAACCAAAGACACGAACACTCGCTGGTGGTGGCTTCTTGGTGTCGGCTGGCTGGTGAGTGCGTTCGATCCTACGTGAAGAAACACAGCACCCCAAACCTTGGCAACGCATACGTACCTGCAGGCGCTTTGCCTCGGCCTGGCGGGCCTGGACGGCTTCCCTCTCTCTCTCTATCTCCGCGCGACGAAGGTCGAGCTCTTGCTTGTGCCGCATCCTTTCATGCGCAAAAAAAGCGAAAACCAACAGCGATGCATTCAAAATCTACAACAAGAGCAAATATGTCACGCTTCTAGTGCCACCAAAGTTGAATTGTGAGGTGCTAGGCACATGTACGCAGGGCTGTTCGTGATAGATCCTCAGGCAGGTTGGCTTTAGTCTATTTCTTGATCGGAGCTCACTACTGCTTGTTGACACATCATAAATTTTGGTGACAAGGAAGAAACTAACCACGGAAGTCCCAAAACGTAAACGTCCAGAAGGCTAAGCCTAAGCAATGACATAAACTGTTTGGATCAAACGCATCTGGCCTTCGAGCATTGGGCTACCGGGAATCTGGAGAAGTTTCTTCCAGGGCCAGGAACACAAATATCGTTGCACCTTGCGAGTTCTGCCTCTCTACGTAGGTGCTCCTGGTGCTCATCCAGCTGGCGCCTCTGCTCCTCGAGCTCTTCGTCCTGTTGCCTCTGCATCTCTTCCAAGCGCCTCTGATTCGCCGCGTTGGCCATTGCAAGAGCGTCGGCGCTATCCTGCTCCATGGCTGCTTTATTCTCGAGCTCCAGCATCTTCGCAAACAACGGGTATTCCACACAACACGAAGTTGTAGGATGAAACCCTTCTGGAGGGAGACTTGTCAGGTACAAGCTAGAAGTATGAACATCGGGGGGTGTCATTCCAGCTTTCTTCTCGCGGCATGTAATCGGAAGAGGTCGGGTAGAATCGCACGAGAGATGTTCTTGATGTGAACTACTGCTTTTCCCGCCCCAGAACCGATTGTTGACAGTGAATCGCTGTGAGGCACAACAACCTACGCGTGCCCCTGTGGTGTCCTTCCTCTCGCCATTGGGGGAATCGTTCGGAGCGACACCCAACCCTCAGTAGTAACAGAGGCGGACGTAGAGTTTGGGGAAGTCCGATTCCTCATCGGCGTGGCTGCTGCTCATAGAGCCGTTTGGGGAACACGCTAGCTGGGTCGCTGGTCATATTTACCTTTTTTCGCCGGAGGGCTTCTTCCTCCATCCTCTGTTGCTGCTCCATTGCCTTCTGCTCTTGCAGCAGCGCCATCTTGCTGTCGTAGTCAGGCGCGCCCACTGACAAAGAAGCCATACTTCTGGAGTAGATGTGAACAAGGGGGTGAATGGTAACGCACCAGCTAAGGACATGCACAGCGATAGACCACTTTCATCGGCGCCACCTAACGCTGTGCGTGAAGGATCAGATGCAGCCATTTATGCGGGGCCGTTGCCCGAGCTCGAAGCAGGACGCTCGTCCGTACTCCACGTCCCGTTGATGGCTAACGTCGAAAGACGCAATCGACTCGCGAACGTCCTTCACGCCTGATGTGGAGGGATGCGAGATCCCCGAGAATGACCGCAATGCTTGACCGAACGTAAAGCTAACGTACCACATGGTATTCATTTCCGTGTAACTTGCAAAGAACATGCCGTTCATTAGATTCGTTGAGGTTCAGTGTGTATTATATCCGACACAGTACAAGTTGTTCGACTGCTCTGATTATGCAATCACGCACCTCTGCCGCGCATTTGTGAGGCTGAGGCTTATCCCAATCGCTCCTAACTCGGCTTCCGTCGCGCGAACAAAGTCGGGGCTTTGGTAGTTCAGAGGCGCCGTCACTATCCGGACGAACTCTTCTCCGTTGAGATATTCGACCACGCTCGCAAGGACCGCAGCCTTCGCTCCCTGGGCTAGCTTGGGGTTTGCGTACTTGCCTAAGTTTGTCTTTATCACACGTCCCGTCCTGTGTGATTGATGATACCGCACAGTGGCGGAAGAGGCAGCAAAACGAGCTACAACATGTCGATTGTCAGTTGTTTTTCACAGAAACACACAACGTTAGGTACTGCATGGTACGATCGTTGACCGGTAAGCAGAACAAGCCACCGTGAAATACAACCACGCCTCCCATTCCAGTGGGAGAGAACCGCAATGTAGATGAGTGTGACCTCGACGGAGCTAACCTGGCATTCTCCACTTGAAGCTTCTTGGCCAGAATGGCGCGCGCTTCGTCATGGTGCGCCTTGAGCTTTTTCTTGAGGTGCTCGGCTTTTTTTATCTCGTCAAGGTGTTTGGCGTTCAGCGCGTCATCTACGCCCTCGCTGGATAGTCGCTTACTACCGCGCCGAAATAGACTATTGTCAGCTGTTTTCCCCCCCTTCAGCATTGCTGACGTGGCCTTGAGCGTTACTCCTTGCTTCTCCAACTCGTTGCTTCCCCCACGAAGGGTTGGTTTGGTGCGATCAAAATGACGTGCCGTAGAGGTGGTGGATCATTGCTGGAAAGCGTAGTGCAAACTCGCACAGAAAACGTTGGGCGCGCGTGCATCCTAGACTAACGTACATGACCGCCTGTCGGTTGTTTGGTCTAGCAAGTAGAAGGAAAGCACTACAGGGGGGGGAAGGGTGCTCCACGGGGGTTCCTCTTCTGTGTGACCCAAGCCATTCTTTGTCGGACATATTCCACTATTCAGATTCAATAGGAGGGCGAAAGTAGGGTAGGCTGGGAAGTTGAATGTACACTTGATGAGCAAATCAAATACTTGACGCCCAATCCTACCACAGAACTGATACCAGCAATGACGTATCTTACTCTAGCAAGGTGCCAAAATAGCTCTCTTCCTTGGCTAGCATCGCTTCAAGCTCGTTCGTTCGGCGAGCGTGTGCCTTGACCACCTCCTTCTGTTTTTCGTCCAGGAACACTTGTAGTCCTTCTAACGTCGAGATATTCACGGCTTGTCTTTGGGACGTCCCCATGTTGTAGCCTTTCGGTGACCGCACGCTGCTTCGTTTTCTAGTTCCATAGCAGAATCATATTTGGGCAAAAACGATTGGGTTAGACTATGTTGTCCAGGAACAGTTCTTTTTGGCTCAGTATGGCTTTCGGCTGTTGAATGCGAGCCGGAATTGTTAAGCACCTGCCAGACCAAGCAGCGGTAGCTCACGTAAAGGCAGTACCCTGGCAACTGGCTGTGCACGGAACTTTGAAGATCGCGGCAAAACGTGCTGGTATGCGGAAAACGACCAAGAAAATTTCGAAAACACCTGACAACCCGCGCAGCCAGAACTTTAGTCTAGTTTCTTATCCCAAGCGTACCTCCTGCCTCCAGCACCAGTAGGTGTGTACCCGCCGCCGTCCGCGGCCGCCCTGACTGATGAGGCTTTACGAGCAGGAGAGAGCAGGTCAGTCGACGATCGACCACTGCGGGGATGGCTTGCTTCGATAGGAATAATAGGGTCTGGTGGGACAAGTGATCGCTGTCCTTGTGCTTCCGGCTGTCCTGGCGATGGAGTGCCATCCATGGATGGCGCATACCTTCCAGGTGACGATCGAGTGTTTGACGGGTCGTCGTCGCTGAGAAGACCGTCAAGAGCCGACTGCACTTGGTCTCGGGCATGGTCAGCAGCTCGAGTGCTACGGCCCACTAAGGAACCACGGCCATCGTACTGACTCTCTGGCGACGTAGGAATGGATGAGCCAGATGCAACACTCCCCCCTGCACTTCGCAACCGAGAAGGAGACCTATCCATCCCGGCGACGTGGGCGCCGTTGCCGTAAGGCAAATGATTGCAGATGGGGGCACGTGCCTGTACCAGGCAGTTAAAGAGTTACGGCCTTCATGCGAACGCAGGGGCAATCTGCACCTGATCTATCGTCACGAACGCGCACGGCAGTAAGACTTCTGCCCAATGATGAGCGCCCGTGAGCGCATGTGCGCGTTCTCCGATAAATTGGGATGTAAATTATTTCCAAGTTGCGGTTCACATGAAACGCCCACTGAAAAACTGCGAGTGGAGCGATGATCATGGCGCACGTGCAGAAGCAAGAAGTGCAGCCTATGGAACTCATGTGTACCATTAGATATCTATCAGACAGCAGTCTTCAGTCGATGATCCTCTCTCAGCTACATACATGTCATATGCACCGCATTTGTGGAAATGCATAGCCATTGATCATCAATCAGCATACAACCGATTTCGTGACGTGGCTGCGTATGGTAGATGCGGGTAAATGTGTGTCGGTTGGTTCCGATGCGCCACATGCGGCATGCGGCAATGCGGTGAGACTGTTTTCTAGCGACCGGAATGAAAGTGGCTTAGACAGCCTCATGCAGAGTCTCTGTAGTTTCACAAGGGAAATCACCACTGTAGACTAACGCAGGTGTAGATTGCGCCGCGTATCCGAGTTGGGGTGATTCATTTGTTGCTTGTTTGGATCCCGAATCAGTGATGAGCTTCATTTCCTTGTTGTCATACCTCCGACGTTGACTCCAATCAGGCCATTGTTCTCGGACCAGGATATACACGACGTAGAAACAAGCGTTCAAGGAGAGAGGTGGCATGACAAGCGCCCAAAGAGGGAGGGTGCAGACTACTATTTGTATATGTCTGGAGGTCATTGTACATACTACATACACCCTCCAAATTCCTTTCGAGGTGTTTGTCTCAATCTATTTTCATTGCGAGAACTACGTTCCCTGTCCGTTGTCGTCCATTAAGTCGGGCTTGGCATACCTAAGATTAAATGAACCCTCACTTGTTTGGCAGGCAATCTTACACACTACATACAGTCTACCCAAGCAGCAATCTTTCTCCAACTGTTTAGCAGGCAGTCTTTGCCAAAACGTGAATCATACGTACTGGTACACAACCGGTCGCCCCGGTGGTCGAGTGGGTAGCCTCGTAGCCTGCTAAGGGCTAGGTCGTGGGTTCGAGTCCCGACAGAGTGAGTTTTTTCTCGCTAAATAAATCCTGGTCTCCGTCGGAAGCGATGCCCTGCAAAGCCCGTTGTTAGTAAACTTGATCGACTTCATAAGTCGAGAGGGAAGGGATTGCTGTGCCCTTCCGCGATAAAAATATCTCAAGGCGGGAACCGCAGAAGGGGGTCCGACCCCCCCCTCCTATGTGACCCGGTTGGGTCGTCTAGTTGGTAGGATGGAGGATAGGGGCCAGAGGGGCAGACGACAGAGCCCAATAATGGGAGAAAAAAAAAATATATATATATAGTGCGCAGAACATATGAAAATCATCGCAATCCAAAACAATGCGCTAGGCATCTTACATAGCTTGGGGTGAGGCAAAGGAGAACCAAGGCGATAGAGCGGCCAACGAGCGACAGGCTTGGCGACAGGCTTGGCGGTTGGAGCAAACCCGGGGGCGCTTGGCCGACTAGCCGCGCGCAAGCGCGGGCTAGGACAAAAAACAGGAAAGCTTCCGCTGATCTCACTTATAATATATTTTCTCAACACAAACAATATGGTGCATAGCTATACATCATGCTCCGTTTCACCACACACACACCAATACACGCACGACGGAACAACCCACAACAACGCAAAGGCGATATCCACAAGTGATACAGAATCTCGGATGACACTTTTTTTTTAATCGTGCTCGGACAGATACCAAGATATCACTACAGTATTATGTAGACATATACGGTTACAGGCAGCGAAGAACGGATCCCGAAAGAGGGGTTCTTGCCCGGCACAGTGTCACGAACGGAAGAAAAGACTCCTTCGCACACCCAAGTCTCTCACCCTGCGTTGACTAATCTAAAATGCAACGCCGAAACACAAAGAACAACGTCGCTTACGGTATTTTTATTACACCGCGACCGCTCAGTTTGCACACACTCAATCAAATATTTCAATACTCAGCAACACGAGGCTATGCAGTAGGTCCGAGAGACCCGCCTTACAAAAAGGTGACAATTCATTTGTGCTTTGCTACAACGACGACCAGGGGGTAGTCTCGAGCCAGGCACCGATAGCTCCTGGGTGTCGGTCCTTCACGGGCCACACATCTAGCTAGTGCCATCATCCACAGCACAACAAGACCTTGAAAACGTCAACGCAACTCACACAACCAATAATCAACAAATCACAATCTGTTGAGCATGCAGGTGCAAATCACCACCTCGATGCGATTCTCGTCAAAATTTCACCCCCATCAACATTCCTCGCAGCTCTCGGGATAGTTGATGTTGGACCTGGCCAGGCAGACCCACAGCGCTGCTTCGCCAGCCACGCAACTGTTGGTGTACACGACCGTCGTCTCAGCAGGCACGAAGAAGGCCATCCCCCGGCAAAGCCTTTGCGTCCCGTTTCCGGCGCATGCAACGCCGGTACCGGCCATGACTATGGCTAGCGCCGCCACTGGCGCTGGCGGCGTGGCGTACTCCTGGCCGTGTGGCACCTGCGGAGAAGATCACGCCCGGGGCACTGATTTCATCGAATCCCATGCACTGTCCCGTGTATACGGTGTTTAGAATGTGAACCTGTCATGACTTCACTTGTTGCCGCGGGGCGAAGAGGTTGAGTTCGACAGCCGATTGGTGTATTGGTCTCTTCTCCCTGCTCTTGTTCATTAAACACAGCATTGGCACCAGTGGCAACGATTACGTCATCCCCTGGACTTCAGCGTGTGGTATGTGGACGACACATGGCCAGTACCGACAAATGTCGTAAGAACCTGAGTCCATGGCAACCTCTCGTGTTGACGAAAAAAAATATTCATAGGTTTCAGGCGGCATCTGTATGGCTTGCTTTACACGATTAAGGCGGGCGGAGGAAAGCTGGATAAAACTGTTTCAAAAAAAGGCAATTCTCAAAAACGAGCATTTCATTCATGCCAACAACATGGTGCGTCCGAACACCGCACGTTAGATTCCTGGATATTTTCGTAGTTTTTTTTTGTTCAATAACGCACCTGTATATCCAGCATCTCGAAGTCCTTGATGGGGGGGGTGTATCTCGAGCAACACTGGTCTACCTGGATGGGCGTGACGATGGGAGGCGCGCCCATGTTGTACGTCAGGATCTGACACAGCAGGGGCACGTCACGGTGCTTCGGGGTGAGCGCCACGCGAACCACGTTGTCCGAGCGGGCCATGACCTGTGGAAATTCGTTCGAGTTGATGGAGGAGTGGTGAGGAGGTGGAGCACAGTAACACGTACAGAGCGATGCATTGCTGTGCCGTGTATTGTTGCTGAGCATTATTCTTCGTCGGTGATTCTCTGACTTTTTGGGTGGCCGAAGTGGACCCAAAGCGGAGCACACGGAGCCACTACGCACAAATCAAATCATCTACTAACCCCACCAAGATTCCCCCGCCCTCTCCTCCCGAACACACAGATCGCCACGAAATCGTCAAGGCTGCATGAAGGCTAGGTACTCCTAACGTTCCGCACCTCGTTCTAGCGAAGCAATATGGCATCGCGAGGCTCAGCGACGGAGTTGTGAGCATACCCAAGCGTAAACGCACCTCCAAGATGTCTCCCTTGAGGTAGGCGTGGGGCTCGTTAGCCGCCATGAAGAACGACTCTCCCTCCCCCATGCGCAGGTAGTTGAGGAGGAGCGGCATCATGATGCCGATGTCCCCCGGATACTCTTCCGCTAGGCGCAGAATCAGTTCGCGAAGCTGCAGGAAAGAAGCAGCACGCACCGGCGCAAAACTACCTGGGTCATATGACGGTGCGTGTGGCGGTAGACATCTACGTCCCCACCCAAGAAGAGAGTGTACCCTGCTCTCAGAGACATGGATTCTTCCATGGCAATCTTGGCATCTCGCACGGCTTCCATAGCTTCCATAGGATCCCATGGAAGCTTTCATCACTTCCATGGAAGGCATACGAGCTGCCATGGAAGTTCGTGAAAGCTTCCACCACAAAGGGGAAATAGTGCAGTATTGCATGCTTCCCAGTATTCGCAGAGGGTACTCATGAAAGAGAATATAGTGGCTGGTCAGGATAGCCGAGAGATATGCCGCACTCCAAAAGGGCTCCACTCTGGGGTGAGTTTCAGGCCTAAGTTTCGTTTCGGTGGTGAGTCTCGGGTGGATGGATGCATTGGGTATCGCAGGTGACGCTGTGACGCTTCAGCAGTACGAAGAGGGAGAGTGTCAAAAAGGCGCCAGCTTGTCAAGAAACATGCAACTCTTCTCACCGCAAGGTCCTCTTTCGCCCGCCGCTGCCCGGTGACGTCGGCAAAAGCGAGAATAGACGAAGACCACCCGCGACGTCGAAACGCGCAAGGGGGGATCCCACCCCCGACCGCGGCCGCCGCCGCCGCCGCATTGTGCCGCACCGATGATGCTAGGTGGTCTTTTCCGGTGGAGGAAATCCCCGCCACGCCATGGACGCCGTGGTTCGCACTGGCGTAGCCACTGCTGCTGCTGTTGTCGCTGCTGCAGCCGCTGCTGATGCTGCTGTTGTTGCTGGTGTGTACGGTGCTGATGTTGCTGCTGCTGCTGTTGTTGCTGGAGCTCGAGTTGCGTGCTCGGTCATGACCGTTGGTGCGGGGGTGACGGTGGGATTGGCTCGAATCGTCCTCCTCGGTGTGCATATCTTCGTTATCGGTGACCTCATCCGCCGTGTCCGCGGTGCCGTCGCTTCCACCGTCCACCACGTGCAGCATCTGCATCTGTTGGTTCTTGAGGTTCTCACTGTCTCCGTCTCCCCTCACGTGCACGATGCCCATCTCCGCTTTCTCAAGGCCGCTGCAGTCTCCGTCTGGTCCATCACTCGCAACGCGCAGCACCCCTTCTTGCTGTATCTCTGCCGCAACCATGTCGCTGTCCTCCCCGTCCTCGCAAATAGCACCAAAGTTTCTATGCCGCACGGGGTCACTGCTCGAGACTCTGTCAGCGAAGGAGTCACTCTTTCCTCGCCAGGTTGACAGCTCATCGTCGGCGTTGTCAATGCTGCTGCTGCCGCCGCCGCCGCCGCCGCCGCCGCCGCCGCCGCGGGAATGTCCGGGCCCGTTGTAGTTGACGTCAACCACGTGTAATCCGCCATTGCTGTTGCTTCTGTTGGACTCGGTGCAAAGCTTTTCGGCCCGGCCGTGGCGGAACTCGCTCTTCAATCTCTCCACTAGGTTATTCACCTGCGGCACATTTCACGGTTGCAAGAGAGGAGCGGGTTTTTACAACCATGACGCCACTTGTGGGATGGTCTTCCAACAGGGCTTAACGTTCGCACCCGAAGGCTGGGTGCCCCGTGAGAAATCGCGTTGTCGAAAGGTTGTCACGTAGTAGTGTTTGAAACGCGTCTGTTCGTCGGTCATAGAGTTCAAATGAATTCTTGGCGAGGGAAAGCGGATCGCTGGACCTTTCCCCGTGGAAAAAGTGAAAGCATGCATCGCAGATGGATCATTCTGGGTCAAAATAGTCCTCGGGAGAAAAATCCAGCCGAACAGTAGTAGAAAACAATTCCTGCCGACGGAAAACCGGCTCCGTGGGGTCATCAAGCCAAGTCACCAGGTACCGGTGGTCCTCCCTGTCCTCATTGCTCCTCCCCTCGACATGGGTGTCTGCATCTTAGTTCTCGGCCTCCTAACTCGAAGGCCCTTCCCCTTGTGTACGGCAGTTTCTGATATCGTACAAGTCATTATTGATGATATTGATGAAACACGTCCTTGTACTGGTACAAGAAACGATACATACATATACTATACAAGGCTCCCCTTCGGGAATTAGGTGGCTTAGGTGGCTTGCCTCCCGAGGGCGCCGCAAGAGGACATGGTCAATGTCATCGCGGTCTCATCGTTGCATGTCAATGTCATGAAGTTCGGGTAGGGAGTGCCGGTTTTACGTACAATCTGCAGAATTTGCTTGGAATTTTGCATGATTTGCGGGGTATTTTTTTTCTCGCCGTGACTGTTCGCGTTTGTGTGCGCTTTTAGATTAATGAGATCTTTGCTGCAGGTCCTACTGCTGTAATCCGCTACGTTCGATATTTTGCTCTCATGTATGCGTGTTGCCGATGGTCTGTGGGACATGTGTGCGCTGCGCAGGAATCAAAACAAAAGCCTCCCTGTTTTATGCCGAGTAGTATTTGTTGCATTTTTTGCTAAGGCTTTCTTCGTGCGGGACACGTCCCCGGGGTATTGAGCCAGTTTTTTCAATTTTGGGCGTCAAGCACAAACGCCACGGGTGGCTGGCGGTCCTCTTGCGTGCGTGTATTGTACCGACGACACCCGTGCGTACCCATAAGGATGAATCGTGAGAAAGGACTCGCTTCCGCCAGCGAAAGATGTCTCGAAGCTCGAAGCACAAAAACAGGCGAAATGGCACAGATACATGAAAGACATATATTTGTTGGGAACATTACAAAAAAAGGAATGATGGTCTAGACCACAAAGTGCCAAAAGAGAAAAACTCTAGCCAAGGCCATCTTCATCATTGCAACTACGGCAATTGGGATTCCTGGAGTTCGACGCTGTTTCGTCCAGACACATCCCCTGGATCTCGGCGAGATAGGCGCGAGTGAAGAGAGCAACCCATCAGCGTTCTTGTCGTCGTTGTCGTCGTCGTCGTCGGCAGTGAGGAAGAAGCTTCATTATTATGTTCTCCACAGAACAGCCGTCTTTGTGCTTGGAAGGCAAAAAGACTACATACTTGCTCAAGTAGGCCGTTTTCACCTGTTGGTCTGCCTCCCACGTGTATCGACGGCCTGGCCACGGGTTGGTTACCAGCAACTTGCAACAGCGGGTTTTCTCATTCCGCCCCCACTTGACTGCGACGCAATGGTCTCCGCAATCTTGTACAAGCTTCAGAAAGGAAAAGATATGGGTGCTTCTTGCAACTCCACGGGTAGTGAACTGAACGTTCCTGTAGAAAGCAATCCGTGCGTGTCTGTTTTTTTGCACCTGTGCGGTCACAACGTCGGTGTTTGCCGTCACCAAGCCTCGAAACAGGACTCTCAGGGCGTTCTCTTCGTGCTCCCTAACGCCGGAATTGCACGCGAACGCCTGGGCGGTTGCTTCGGCCCCGACCATGGCGCGAAGCTCCGGGTAGATCTCGAGGCTGTACACTGCTCAATGGCATGCGCGCGGGTTTGTTAAAGCGTTCCGAGCAGCCGTCAGGGCACCAGTCCATACATACATGGATGATGTGCTGTGTTCAATTGCCGTCTACATGTTGCGGCGTGGAGCTTCTGATAGGCCACCAGCGCTTATTGGCAGTTGTATTTGTGGTCGTGACTTGTTCGAAGGCAATGGCACCGACGACGTGCTCTGCTTGGTCGCAGCGGAGCTCGTATAGTACAAAAAACTATCCCCGCTTCTCGGGAAAGTAGAAGATCGGTTGCCACAATTGGGCCTACTACAGGACTGAAAGTTGTTGACAGGTTGTATGCGGTGGAAAAGTTTCACTTAGCTACATGAATCAGTCACCTGAGTGTTGCCGTAATGTCGATATTGCGACGTCTCTGTTTCTCGGAAGAGCTGTGCTCCCCAACGAATTGGTACGTCTTCTATACAAAATGGTACGTTTTTTAGTATTGCAAGCCAGGTTACTCGTTCCGTGGTCCAAGCGCGGCCAGCTAAACACAAAATTGCTGTCCTGGTACGTGATTCAGGTTTCGATCGTTTGCGACACCGCCATCATGCCCATGTGTATTCAACACTACAAGCACGGAGCTTCACAGAAATCTCCGGACCAACTGCAGGTAACGTGGCAGTTCGCGCCGGGATTTGATGACGTTCTACTCAGGGAGTCGTGTTCCGCGAGGTTGTCAGCGGTGTTTCTGTCACGAATCTGCGCAGTACTTGTGTGGAGAAATGTGCAAAAACTGTCGGGGTAGGGAGCATGGGGGTACCGGCATTGTTGGTACTGTCCATGAGACATCCCATGGCCCATGGAACGTCCGTCCAATGGGAAGTACCGACAACGTTAGGACCAGGCAGGGTTGAGCTGAGGAGGCGTGCTGGTTGATAGCTACAAACGAAAATCCACGTATCTACGAAGGAGTGTCGACGACCTTATGGAAGATTTATCTCAAACGATGCGGTGTAGAAGAATCAACCTCTCCGACAGCGCACCTTTGAGAATACCTTGGCATAAACATGTACTTGTTCCCGAACCGTCCGTATCGAACTTGTTTGAGGGACAGCATTTGTAGCAGCAGAGCCATCATGTTACAACCAATGCGAAATCTTTACTTCTACATTGTACCATACTTGCCAATCTCTCGGAAGGGTCGAAAGCCGCAGAGCCCCTCGAAGTCCGATAGCGCCACGGCCATCTCGGGCTTGTGGTTGTCGTCCTTGTACAGGTCGGGCCGCGTCGCGTACAGGCGCTCCGCGAGCTTCTTATCGGGATGGGCCTATAGACTCCGCAGCCAACACACACGAATAGATGAGGGGTCCAGAGGCCGCTATTTAGCTCATTCAGACACAATGCACCGGCACGGCTATGACTACTGGTGCTGTTGCCAGTCAACCAACCTGCTGTTGGTACTGGTGCCGGTGCTCCTAACCGATCCACACCAAGCGCATTCACCCAGAGAGATGGACACATCACCGACCTGGATCGAAAGCGCCTTGTTGATGGAAAGGACCTTGAACATGAAGGGGAGGTCTCCCACATGCTCCTGGTCTCCCAGATATTGCGGGTAAGTCTCCAGCAGCTCGATCAGAAACATTCCGGGGCCCTCTGCTGATCTGTACAACCTATCCTCCGGGGAAGTAACGAAACGGGGTTGTTTCGGTCTCCGCTGCGCGATATGGTACCGACTGTACTCGTAGTTGTGCCTACTACTATAATACATCAGATTTCAGTATAATGAACACAAAGAGACACATACTCATGGTGTATATTGCGTGAGTGTTGCATCCAGGGGAAGAGCAAGCGAGCCGTTGTCGACTGAAGTCGTCCTGACAAAACTGACACAATCCCAAGGTGTGGTTGCGCCCGCCCATTTGCAAGAAACCCCGAGTTGTGGCAACACTCAACAAACACGGTGGTAGCGGTGCTAACCTGGGCTTCTTCTTCGCTCAGCATGCGTGCATGATGAAAATTAATACTTTTCCTTCTCGTAAACATGAGAACCTATACATGTGTCGCAGAGGCGTGTGAGCCATTCTCACGCGCATGCATGCATGCATGCATGCCATTGCGTGCGCTCACTCACCCTTGCAGCTCGTCGGTGCCCTCGTGCCCGTCGCGCATGACACGACTCGGGCCGTTCGGATGCGTCCCCATCCAGAGCTCCGCGTACGTCTGGCCTTCGTCCACGTCGAAATCTGAGTCTTCGGACTGAAAAAGCGGCATAGTCAGAGCGGGACGGAGATGCAGACGTAGGTACCGGAGTCGAGTCAGAGGCGTGGGCAGAGAGGGGCTCACCAACAACACGAAAGTGCACAAAAAATGTGTGCTTGAATATCTCGTGGTGGGACGTACGTGACTTCATTCATATTTGCACCCGGGGCCAACGAGCCGCTCTGCGGAACCGGCACGCCTTCTTCGTGAGTACGCACAGGGCGTGCCGAACCGGAACGTCCCGGCTCAAGAAATGTAAGGGTCAAATGCCCATGATAAATGGGAAGGGTTGACTCTTGTACTGGGTGTTTTCGCAAACTCATCGGACATGTTTATAGTTCTCTCGACGACTACCCGCTCCTTCCGTCCGTTACTCCCTCGGCCCTCTTGGCGTGCGACAGCAGTGGGTCACGGCCGGGGTCACAACGGGACGGCGGCACAGTGAACACGCCAGCGTCATGTAGCACTACTACAGGCACACAGCGGGAACGACAACATGCAGCTCCACACAACCCACAATATGATCGGTCGCTAGTCCACGGGCACACGACGGCGGGTCGATGAACCGGTATCGACTGATGAGAGGCCGAGGTCTTCACGCACCTTCTTGAGCTGTGCCACCATGCTATCCGAACCACTCTTGCCCCACGCATACCGCTGCAAGGCGGTCTCAAGCCGACGCATTTCTCCTCTCCTTAGCACGTACGTCCAACACGAACAGCTCGTCCACTTGGAAACCTTTTTACGCCTTCATTCGGCCTCAGAACCTGGCAGTGCAGCAAGGTAAAACCATAGTGTTGGCGTGTTAGTAGCGATACTTATAGGGGACAGAGCCATACTTCTCATTGCGCACCTACATATCGTGATTCCTCCTCTGGCGGGGATGACTAAATCCTTCGCAATAAAAAGCAATTCAACCACACACGGTAGACGGGTTTTTCCGTGTGACTCCAGCGGGAGGTTTTTCTCGACAGGCAAGGCCGGAGAGTAGCTTGGAAGTGCAAGCGGCAGTTGAGAAATGTCAGGTCGAAGGAAACGGATTTAGGTGTAGCCCCCGACTACAGAAGGTCTTGATCAAGCGCAGCAACGCCGACCACGGACGAAACAGGCAGAGGGGGCATCACGCCCACAGTTCAAGACGCCGCGAGCAGCACGAGTGTCCGAGCGAAGCAGAAGCGCGACTGCATCTCCATTCACCAGCAAGATGGACGGTTGAAGCGCTCGCATGCGGGCACACCCTCGAAACATCGCGCGTTTCGGTCATGGAAGGCGCCTGCGGGAAGGTCCGACGTGCGGTTTTCCAGAGGATACACCGCGAGGCGGTACAATCGAGAATTCCACAGTTGTCCATCAGCATCTTGCTCCGCAGGAGAGGGGCAATGCGCGTGCGCGAACAGACATGCAAAAGACTCTGCGAAAGGTTCCAACTACGAGTCGGGGCTAGCGATGGCGTTGGAGCGAGACGTGGGGGTCCTGTCGAATTGGTGTTCTTTCTTAACCTTCAAGGATCGGAAACCCAGAAAGCTGTGCCCCGCCAAGAAAGAGAAAAAAGGCACAACCGTCCACGACTTTTTCCAGAGAAGAGGTAGAAGAATTCTGGGGACCCAGCGAGACAGGCGCCGGTAATGTTGCGCATACATAGTCGTGAGACCCGCCGATATGAGGCCAAGGCTGAGGACCAAGAACTACGTAGGGACGGGAGGCTTAGCGAAACACCTTGGCCGCAGACTGCAAAACAGCAATCGGGGGCCCTCGATAGTGCGGGTTATAGTGCGGATGCCCGGTACAGTGCGGGTGAAAGTGGCTGGCACAGAAGGAAAATTCAATATGTCTTAGGAGTACATTGAAATGTTGTGGGTTCCCGCAATAGTGCGGGTTCTGCCACGTGGCACACAACCACTATTGAGGACTCCCGATTGCACAACGAAGGGGGCGACTCGCACGCTTATGCAGCTGCGATAAGGCAAAGGGCATCAGCAACAATCTATGGTGGAGAAAACAATTGACGGAACGCAGAAACCACCTTCCTCACACTTCCATATTGCAAAAGGTGATGCACCTCGCATGATGCAAGAAAAGCAAACATTTGGGGAGATATTGGAATTCGCACGGGTCAGCTACCGCCGCACATTTCGAGCGTACCCAAAGGGTTGCCAATCAATGAAGAAGAAATCGCGATTTGGATGTCAGACGTCTTAAGACCACACTCCCTACCACAAGGCAGAACGAAATGCCCTCGCTCCCCTAAGGAACGAACATGCGGTGGATTTGACTTGCCAGCCGTGATCGTGTTTGAAAGAGTCTGTATTACGTACAAAGCCTGTGGGACTCTGAAAGCTACATGATAACTGTGCTGGTGGGTTGACCCAGGCTCGGCATGGCTACCATGGAAGGCTGAGAAAAAGGAGAAACGATTTTTCTGTTGAGGGTCGAGAGTACACCATTGGCCGGGTTCCGGAACGCAACAAGCGAACACACACGTAGGCTCAGCACGGAAGGTTAAGATTCGTAAAACGGAAATCCGCGGTTGGAGGATTAGGAAGCACATCTATCTCAGTGCTGTGCTTATCTCAGTTCTGTGCTTAAACCTTGACACGGTAAAGACTTCAACAACACATCCCTTCGCACGAGGTAATTTCTTGAAGCGGTAGTATTTACTTCTGTGGTGTTGCTGGTACCGTGTAGAGAAATCGAAAGACGAAAAATAACCAAAATGGGCACCAAATAATTGGGCCTGTACCTCTGTGAAAACGGGGATCCTATCTATTAGAACGGTAGTCTTCTGTGATTGTACTTACAAACAAAGCGGAAACTGGCTGTCGAGCATGGGATGGTTGTGTGATTCCAAGAGCAAGCCGATCCCCCCGTTACAAGGGTAGGCCTCTCTACGGGCAGTCGCGCGCTACGTCGATCACTCCCGCCATATATGGGCCTTGCTTGTTCGAAGGAAGAAACAGGAACACGTCTGTAGTGCTGTACTTTAGACTCCACTCGCCGATTCAACGAAAAAATCGCAGACGCATTAGACTATACGGTACGTACCAGCCAAACACGTCAGCGGGGAACCGTGTCCGGTGCAGTCCTTACTAGCACAATTCTTCCTCAAGAGTCAGGTGATAGTTGCACATGTGCACAACAAATGCGTCGCAGGTTTGGAGCCTCGTGGTGTAGGAACATCTTCATTGTGGAAGGAGATCCCCATGATGATGAGGGAATCTCACATGTTATACCGGACGAAAACAACTCTCCGAAAACACACGAAACAGAGCTGCAGCCCGTATGTACGCGGTGACAAACACCAGAAGAATGCGGCGTCTTGAAGCCCAGGGAAGTCAATCACGAGAACTCCGCCCCTATCTCGAGGGACACCACCAGGCACGGCACGCCTCTCAGGCATCGCAGGCCGGGGGATCATGTAACCCACATCCATCCATCCCTCTCCCACAATACCGTCTGGATGTACAAAGTAAAGTAGTTCAAACGATGGACAAACCATCATCGTAGCATCCAGTTGGCCCAAGCTTAGCAACGGAAGGCGCCCCCGGGCACCTCAGTGTTCCTCGGCTCTCACGCTCTAGGCATCGCGCGCTTCGATTCCGCCGCCAATAGCACCCACGGGAAGGGAGAGGCAACGGGGGGCTCTCTTCGCGGATACATGCAGCATGCGGTCTGCCTACAGGAATAGGTACGTTTCAGCTTCTTAGTCTACGACGCAATCTCACACATTACAGGCAGTGTGCAGCGGAGGGCAAGTTTCGCTTCAACAGGACGGAAGAGGCGAGTTCGGACAGCACAACAGCAGCACCACCAAGCGGACACCTTACGACCGGGAAACCCCATCATGTGTGTTTGGGAGGGGCGTGGCATCGAAGTCGTTGCGGTGGATGACCCAACCAACTCCTCGCATGTCATGTGATGCAGACAGAAATGATCCGCGGAAAATGCGTCGAATATCTGCTCGGGGCGTTATAGATATACAAGGTTCGGACAATCTCAAACTCTCACCGGCACGCTCCCCTTCGCCTTTCTCAAGCCAGCTACGTGTTCCGCTGCTGCTGTTTCTCCTCCACGTCCTCTGCCACTGCTCCTGCTGGTGCCACTCGCTGCTGCCACCAGGCCAGAGCAAGAATTTGCGGCGAGACTCCTCTGGATGCGACTGAATGAGAAGCGGGGGTACGAAGATTGGATTCGTCATTATTTCGGGTATGTGGTATTCCCCTTTGGTGGGGACCCCCTCAAGGAGAGGCAAGCATCCTCCAAGCATCCACAGCAGACACAGGCGGGACCAGGAGGAGCATCCCGACAGCAGCGGGGCGAGGACTTAGCGAGCACACGCTTGCAAAAGATCGACAACCATGGAGGACCATTTCTCTCGCATGCTGGATGCTTCAGCCACGGGAAGGTGAAACTCCAGTGAAACTCTGATTCCCCCACCCAAGATTTGCGCTGCTCTCCTCTCTCTGGGACGACGTCTACCGCTGTCACCACCGCTGTTATTTGGCATCGCACATCTGTGTGGTCATTCGATCATGGCCATTGTGGGACGGCTACGACTTGTCCCGTGTTGCTCTAGATTCTGTTCGCACGCTGTCCATCCAAGGCTTGGAACACATTGAACTCACTGCACATTCCAGCGTGGGTGATCGCGCGCCCTTGCAGGCGGTAGGATCCGCGTTAGCCTACAACAGGTAGGGGGATGTCTTGCCGCGCCTCTCTCTGTTTGCATTACACCGGACATTTTAGCAAATTCTGGGGATCGACTCCGTACTGCTTGACCGTACATAAGGGGAAACATTTGCAACAGAGGGTGATCCGCAAAGCACGGTAGAGGTTAACAACACCTTGCAGCGGTAGCGGCACCACAACTGCAGTACTTCGGTAAAGGACACCCCCGACACAAATGAACAACACACCCGACCCATCGTATTGTTGTGTCGGTTTTCGTCTTGGACGTACGAATGCCAGCGCTGTGCAGGGAACCTACATCCCGGCCCAGCACTTCGAGGGGAAGAAGCTGGGATACTACTTCGCCAAGGGGATCCATGGTCTCGGCTACTACATGGACGCCGCACAAGCGGTAAGAAGGGGAGATGGGACGTTTCGATATACTTGACGGAGGATGATTGCTAAGGACACCCTGGGCCGAACCTTGAAGCTCGATTAGGCCACCACGAAGACGATGCCAAGGCCAAACGATGCCTCATCGGGAAGCCTCTCCACGAGACGTTTCCAACGCCGCCAATTCGCAGTTTTCGCTGTAGAGTAATCAAGCTTGGAAAATCGGTCCAGAGGGTGGCAGTATCTCGTGTAACGTACAGTGCTTATCTTTGGGGCACGCCGGCATGAGGCTGGTGCGTGCGAGTCGCTCTAGGCAAGAATTGTTGACACCCACCATGGCATGCTGGTACTGAAACTCAAGTTGTGTTTCCCCTCCCATGTGTGTCCAATCATCATCTCGTCTGTACCTGTCGACATTTTAGAGATTGTACCTCATGAAAGAATGTTTTTACGCACCAGCTTAGGTGACGCAGCAGGGAGGCCACGCAGAAGTGGCTGGGTTTTTTTCGGGGGGGGAGGCTGTCCATCGACTTTCTGCGGTGCTTGCCTCGACCATTACGGCGAGAGAAAGACTTGAGACTTAGCCGTCCCAGTATATCGTCGCCCGTGACACGGAAGTCTGTGTGCACATGAGAATCGAGAGTTCTCCACTATTAGTCGGCCATGATGTGACAAAGAATCCCAGTTCGTGTGACTGCACTGTAGCGCCGAGGCCCGAACTCACACATCCAAATGTCTGAATGCGGTATTGGTTAGTGATTGAAACACACGGGGCAATCCGTCACTACAGCCGCGTTTGTCGGGAGGCGAAAACATTTGGTATATCTCGGTACACCAGGTAGCAGGCAAGGCGAGAGGGAGAACCGAGCGAATAGTCTGTCTTTCTATCCCTTCCACCCATGTCGAGTCTTTAGTGCCCTCGTTCGAAGCGCCGTGCGGCATACGTCGTCTGGCGTTTCATGAGGCGACGCCAAGGCTTGATACAAAAGGCCTACGAATGATTTTTTACCCACCAAGGGTGACCATTAGCGGCGGGGGGGGGGGGGGGGGGTGGGGT